CAAAAAAGCCACATTATTGACCAGAAAGTACACAAAAAGCAGACTAAGACACTCCTTAGGATCCTGAGATGCTCCACACGTTGAAATGTCACCGATAGCTGCTACGGTTCTTCAACAAAACGTTCAAATGTAAGAGGTTTATCTCTCATTCAGATCAATGGAAAGGCTCTCCTCTCACAGATCACTGCACATCACCATGGAAACCTTTGATCTCTGGGCTCATACAGGTGTTATGATTAGGTGCTCAGCACAGAAACAAACACTGACAAACAGACTGGGGTTTAACAGACTGTCTCAGGCTGCCTTTACACGGGAACGTTTACGTTTACGCACCGTATGCGTTTTCAAAAAAATCTTCCGTTCACACGCATTCGATTCATTTAACGTGTCTGTTCACACAAGACCACTCGACTCGCTGGAAACGCTGTAGTACATATGCCAGGCCTGTAAGTGGCGCTGCTGCCGCCACAAAATACACCAAAAGCAGCGAAGAAGACCCCGGAGCATGGTTGCCATGGTTGCCCTTCTGTTTATGCCCCGCGGTGGATTTAGCAACATGTAGTAGTTCATGTAATTCTCCATGTCCACTTGTTGCTGATGGTTGTGGTAGAGGAGCTGTAGATTTTGCACTAACATCTGTAGCATGGTCGAGCTGTAGATTTTGCACTAACATCTGTAGCATGGTCAGTAGCAGTAGCACTAGCAGTAGCTACTGACAGTAGCTACTGACCATCAGCAGTGAGCATCAGCAGTGAGCAGCAGAGGTGGGGAGAGGCGGGGCTATGGCTTCATCTATCGGGAAATGATCGTATAGAGGCGATTACACAGAGCCGTTTGACCCCCCAGAGCGTTCCGTTTGCAGATCTATCCACCTTGGGACCCGTTATCGTTTGCGGGGTCCGTTTCTATCGTCTATCGTTTTGTGTAAATGAAAGGGCTATACGCAAGAGAAACTATGCGGATACAACCCGTTTCGTTCCCGTGTAAATGGGGTCTCAGCCTATTATTTTCTGTCTGATGGAGACTTCATACTGACTTCAACATGTTCCACATATTTTATACATTATTGGTGACATATGGTTTTAGTCGAAAAGTTTGCAGTTAAAATATTCTGATGCTTTTCAAAGCCTTTTTACTTTATTTTCTCTTCTTAATACACATTCTTTCACTACGACTTACATTTAATATCTGACTCCTTCAGCCTACTTTCAGCCATGGGCGTAGGAAGCATCCTGAATGTGGGGGGGACATTTTTAACGGGGGGTGTGGGGGCGAAAAAATATATAGATTTCCTGTATTCTGGTGCATTTTAACAGGTGGTTTGATACTTTTATGTGGCTATACTAGCATGAGGAAAATGATGGGTACATTTTGTAATTTCATCCAGTAGTAAAGAAAGGAAACATATTTGATTATTAATTCAGAGCTGTCTTTGAATTAATAAAAAGCAGTTTAAATGCCCATTTTTTTGTACATTTATATACAACAATAAATATTTGTGAGTGCATTGAGAGATATTGTTGTGGAGAGTCATTTATATATAAATCGCAAAATACATTTGTGAATCCTTCTGTGAGCATTTATTAATATTGAGACTGATCTGACTCCATAGGGATGTTAAGTTCACCTAGGAATGGTATCATTGACTTAAATGTTCAAATAAATGTTGCTCTTCTGTCTATATTGGTCATATGATGCCCCTTGACTGAAATGTTTCCTGTTCAATATCCCCACTGATTTCCTTAAAATCCTGGGATGAGAGTCCACATCACAATTTACTCTCAACTGTCATTTCCCTTTCATCACTCACCTCAGCAATGGACCTCTCTCCACTGTCCCTGTATTCTGCCTCTGACTCACTCTCAAGTGCCTAGATGTCAAGAGAGGTGGTGAAGTGATAATTATTTATTGAGCAGTATACTCTTTCACATTGAATCATAACAAGTCATACTGAATGTAAATACAACTGACTCTAAAGTAAGTCCCAGTCTGTGACATTGGACATTTTGAAGACTCAAAGTCCCAAGCAGTAGGTATCTCTCTACCATGACATAAAGACGAAACTCCTCTCCAGAAGTGAGACGCCGCCAGCACTGTTAACTGATTAACTGCTACCAGCTGATGACTTACTTTCCTCTTCTTTGAAAAAAATGTTGTTATGCCCATGTTGTCTGGGGGAGAAAACATATCAAACCAAGAGATCGTCAGCTTTGATTTTCGCTGTATTAACCATTTCCTGAACATTTGGTGTGTGTGCCTTACCTCCGCTACCGGCATCGCTTCATACAACAGATCTGGGGCCTCATTTATAAAGGGATATACGCTCAAAAAATGGCGTACGCCAGTTTCTACGCAATGTTTGCGATTTATAAAATACTAACTTGACGGGAAAATGTGCTGTCCTCCACGCAAACTCTAACCCATGCGTACGCACTAAGCACACAAACGGGAGAGACGAGAAACTGCGACACCGTTGGCAGAAGGAAGAATGGAGAGAAATATGTGGAAATAATACCATAAATAAAATGTTACCTCTCATTTATCAAATATGAAGAATTCATTTTCAAACATTGATTAAAGCCAATCTTTAAATGATTAAACAAACGCCTGTTTGAGACTCCTCAGTGCACACAAAAACATAACTTGGAGAAATAAATAAATACGCATATGCTATTTAAAACCACCTCGAATATGTTGTGTTAATGTTATGAAATGTTTTCTCATAAATGATGCGGTAAGCAGGAGGACAGAATTACGTCTAAACTGCCGCCGTTTTGCATTTCTATAGGTTGTAGATACGAGCATGGTTTTATATACTATCACGTTTAATCGTGTTTTATCCCGTTTGCCAAGACTTGATAAGTCGCTCGTAAAACACAGGAGGTATGGAAACTAAGAACACCATATGTGGTAAATTGTACAGCTAATATAACACAATCCATTAATTGTATTTCCTTTAACTGGTGGATTATGGATATATAGTTGCTGATCGACAGCTGGAACACAAACCACCAAATACAACAAAAATAATTCAGATCCAGTCGTCATGACTCCACTCCGGAGGGATTCCCCGATCATTTCTTACAGTTTCTCATCAAGGGGGGGGGGGGGTCTCCTGTCCCCGGGACAAACACACTGCCTGAGGAAGGTTATGTGTATTTGTTTTGTCATTAACTTTTTTCGGACCACTTATTTATTTATTTTGGTGACGATCCGACCTCCATGCTGCTACTCTGGTTCAAACTGCATCCACCAAACAATATGATTTATCTCGACCTCCCCACAATAACCAAAATCTGACACGGTGTGAGATGTCTTTTTTAGCTGTTCTATCGTAATTTCCTGCGATCTTCTTCATGCAGTCAGTCAAAATGAATGAATGAATGGGCGTTTCTTTGACTATGTATAGGCAAATATGGGCGTTACGAGTCGATTGTGATTTATCAAGGGAAACAGGCGTAGGGAGTGCCGTACGCACTTCCCTCGCCGGTACGCAATGTTTTGTGAATCGGAAAATGGCGGAAAATGTATGTACCTATTTTTGTGCTTTGTACTACGTAAGCAACCTTCCTACGTCAATCCTACGCAAGGCGTTATAAATGAGGCCCCAGAGCCGTCCAACTATGACAACACTCCTTGAACATGCGCGCGCTATGTGAGAATCTGCCTTGGTACAAAGTAGCAGTGAAAACATGGTACGGAGTTTCATTGATTTGGGCATTCTCTCAATAAGCAAGTGGAATGGATTTCATTTGATAGTGAAGCACTGACACAGCGAATCTACAAAGTTCAGCGAGTGGATAGACCGATTCACAGACTTTCCGCATAGTCAAAGTGGGGGGGTCTAAACTAATCATTTGAAAAAGTGGGGGGGACTTGTCCCACCCTCATATAATGGCTGCGACGCCCATGCTTTCAGCTACAGAAACCATTCAACTATTACATTATTCAGCTATTTCAGGACATTGAGGCTGTACATTTAGTTGTTTATACCTTTTTTAAACCTTTTCTTTTAAATATTAAGCTTCTTCACAATTGTTCCTACTCTTCCAGTTTAACATTTCACTTTCAAGTTTTCAATAAAGTCATTGCAATGCATTTGAGCTGTAACAATTTTGATTCAAATCATTTCACTTTTCTGCATTTCTCCGCTAAGTTCAGCAACACACTTACTTGGATTTTGTAGCTAAAAGCAGCTACAGAGAACATTCAACTAATAACATATTCAGCTTTTTCTGCATTTTCAGCTAAATTCAGCAACAAATGTACACAGTTTACAGCATTCGCACGCATTTTCAGCAGGAAATGCATTTTCTAGTCTCATCTTATTCTCCTTCTTCCGCCACTAAATTTGTCATGCTACTCGTCCGGCAGCGTTGACACGAAACACACGAAAAACACATCAAAACGTGCGGAGTGACCAGGATCGGGTTGCTATGTCTTTTATAAGAGATTCGCCTAGCCGTTTTCATCAATTGCCCCATAGGAATGAATGGGAGAGCTGGTTAAGACTTAGAGTGGGTGACATCACGGCTAGAGGGGAGAGGAGCTATAAAATAAACACTTTGATCTTTCAACACACCTGTCGGTCGTTAACTAAATCCAGTGGTATTCTAAAGATGTTCAGAAACGATGCAGGAATGTGGTACAAGAATCCAAAAATGTAATAGATAAACAGTTAAAATAGTCAGCTAAAAGTGAGCTAAAATTAATGGATATTCTTTGTTGTACTTAACATTACAACTAATGTTATTAATACTTGCTCAGCGGGGGTAATGTTAGCATCGGGAAGCGCACCCAAGTTTCAGTCACACAGTCAAAATGTCTCTGAATTTTCTAGTTTCTGTTACTTGTACATTGAGTAACCATCTCAACCAATAGAACCCATGTGTTGACCTTTCATAATAAAGCAAGTTCTTTAAATAGTAGTCCTTTTGGTAGTTTTTTTATCTGACAAGCTCTTCACATACAAGTTTCTATGTGAGTTTTCTGTCTTCCAGGCACTACATCGAGTCCACAAGGACCAGGGCCAAGTCATACCGCCCCACCTGCTGGTCCTGAAGGCTTCAGGAAACACTTCCAGAGGGGGAAGCTGGACTGTGACAACCAGCCTCCGGACCCTGACCGCCTTTTCCAGCGTTGTTTCATGGCTACTGTGACCTCTATCAAAGTCGAGGGTGCTACATAGACTGGTAGACTACGTGACGTTTTAATTGTGAAGACCATTGGTGCAAGTCAAAGCTCATCGGCCCATTTCAATACCTTTAATTTCTGTAGCCTGCATTTAAAACAAATCTTGGCTACCCCCCAAGTTGAATTTCTTGAACTCCGCGATCGCGTGCACATGGCTGCCCATCAGCAACAACAATGATGGAAAGTTTTGAGAACAAGCTAATAGTCCTGGTTCCCAATTACCCACAGCTGTATGAGGCGCCCATGTGCTTGGGCATCAGTCCTTCCCTCAACAGTCCAGATCCAAATATGTCCTATGAGTACTATCAAATATTGCCAATAAAAGCTGAAAAACATTGAAAAGAAATGTTGGCAACAGATCAGTACCTGCACAATTAAAGAAAAACAAGTCAGAGAAAAAGATCTGTCAGTGCACAACAGGAAATTATGCCTGGGTTCTCTGGTGTGCCTTCACTGGAATCCATAAGCTACATTGTTCATTGCAAGAAGCTGAACAAATTCCATTCCCATCAGCCTTACAAACACATGTCAAATCAGATACTGTATGAGAACTTGATGAGAGCTATTGGTTGCACGGCAACAAGTGGCACCTTATGAGTGTCACATGAATTTCCGTTTGGTCATCAATGCAATGCTATTAGCTTAATTCAACAGTTTAAAGTGAGAAAGCCACTTTAAAGCAATGAGGACACGGGTTATTTGGTTTCCTTCCAGATTGCTTCTGAGGAAACACCGGAAGTCCGTCCCTCTAACCAGTCCCCGAAACACAAAAGTTCCGCCATACTACTAAATGCATTGCTCAACCCCGTTAATGAAATGAAAATAGACAGATGTACAAAATAAAGGCATATTCTAACTCTAAATAATAATAATTATTATATTAATGTGGTCACACATCCCAGGGGTGCCACACATGGTTGTGGAAGATTTCAAAAATATTGGATCAATGTTCATCAATTTCATTCATCAAAATGTTGAGAGCAATTACAAGTCCAACAACAAGTTTAGGATTTAAAATTTAAAATGTAAATGTGATACAGAGCAGAAGAGAGTCTTTGGAGAATGATGCTGGCTGACTGAAAATATTGATTAAAAAAATTGAATCTTTTGAGAGACCTGGTTTAATTGGATTTGGAGTTATAATAAAAAATGGAGAGTTCATTATCCTAGAAAATTCCCTTAAGTCCGAAGGTTGTTAGCAATTGATGGTCTTGTCTTTTATGTTTTATTCATCACTTATTTTCAAAATGAGATCGCCTGTGAATCTCAAAACATTCTCAGAACGATAACTAACCATTGACATTATAGACTATGACTTATAGTTGTTAAACCTGGGAGATTTTTGCAGACAACAAAAGTAAAGAGAACTCTCTGGCTGTCCCTAAACTGTTTTTCGTGTTTGAGTTATACGTGCCTGTTATAGTTTCTTCTTGTTCGCAAGGCTGGCTCCATACAGTGTGGAAAAGAATGTGTTGATTGAGAAAAAAAAATGTCAGGTTCTCAACTGGTCAGGCCTCGGGACCCACTTTTTCCTTCGTCAATAGATCGCGACCCGAAATGTTGAACCACTCTATTCAACAAAAAATCGTATATATATATATATATATATTCCATGTTTTTGTTTGAGCACTGTGCACCTGGAACGCTTTGAGGTCAAAAGTTGGACATTTCAACAAGGAAATTATAACTATAAATATAATTTTACTGGAATGGGACATACGTAAAGTCATGATCGCTCCAACTTTTCTCTGATGCTGTTTCTTGGTCATCACTGATCCCAGTAGGTCCAGTGGATGCAGTTGCGTTTTGTAGAGGTTTCCTCAAACCTTTGTCTCATTTGAAATGTCCATTTGAGAAGTGGAACATCTTCTGTACTGTTACTCAAATCACCAGATTTATAAAACTTAAAATTCCAGGTTTGGTGGTCACACATCATTAAAACATTGAAAGTTATTATCTATTAAATGAAAAAGGGGTTCATCTATTTTGTCCATTTGAACAGTTGTACTTTAATTCACAAACCGACAGGCAGACTATCAAAACTGAGTACTAGCTAATTAACTTTGTAAACAGAAGTTAACTACTTTACTTAACTTGACACTTGGTAGCTTCTGGCCATTTTTTACAGCAGTTTTCTATAATGCTATTGCAAACAAGTAGTTTATAGAATCATTTCATGCAGCAATTATATGCAGCTGCTATAGTCTTAGCCGGAAGAAGCACAACGCAATGATGACTTGAACTGGTAAGCTAGCTGTTTCGCTTGCAATTAAACAAAAAGTCACCCCATGTGCAGTTTTCATGAACAAGGAAAATAGCCAAATAGACCAAACCTTTTTTGGAGCAGGCTTAAAAAATGTTTAAGTAAGGTAGGGTATTTCAACGTAGGCAGTGGCGGCTGGTGGATAATATTTTAGGTGGGGCTGTGGAAATGGTGATCAAACAATACTAGGGGGGTCCGGGGGGATGCTCCCCCGGTAATTTTTTTTTAGAAAAGACCCCCTAAATTATGACTTCTGGTGATGTTGGAGGGGAAGGACAATTTGAGGCTTAAAAATATGAGAAGACTGATCAATACCTCCATAACTTCAGTGTGGTTAGCTATGAATCTTCCAAAACTTCCAAACACCTTGTCCTGGACATAGTTTCTACAGCATAATCTGTGCAACAGTACAGTAGGCCCACACAAACTGCAGAACACCGGGGCTTTGGGAACACTCAAAATTACTTTAAATGATTTAATTCCCATTTAACCTGTTAAGGGGCTTTTTTCCCCCGTTTTTTTTCCTCACGAAACTGTGTCTCAGGGCTTCTTAAAATGTAATAAACTATTCATGTGTCCTACTCAGAGGAAACGCAGCTAACTGATGATATGATGAACCATGTTTACCGAAACAAAATACAAGTCTCACAAGAAGCGTCTAAATGAGCCCTGAGCGAAAAAATGCTAACGCACTCTAGGTATAAATCAATCGATATACTTATCGGATATGCACAAACAAATATAAGTATCATCACTGAGCGATCAGAACTTGCGACAGGGGAAGCAAATACAGACATCACACGACGTAGCTTTAGGTAGCAAAACACGGAGATATGCTCACCTTTTGCAGAATAACAATTCTGATCAAAAACGAGAAAAACGCAGCTGAAGGTTAATCCATAGGTTAATCCAATGTGTCTGTCACTTTGAAAAATGATTGATGATCCATAATTCCATTTTTATGTCAAAAACAGAGTTTTCATTAGCTGCTAATGGTAGCTTCCAGAGTGTATGACACCTTCCTGTTTTGTCTCCTTGGATACGAGTCCAAACAACTCACAGACTGCACCGGGCGCTGACGTAGGCGCCCTGTGACCATCAGATTTGACGACGCTGATTGGCTGAAATTATGTTTCGGCGGTATAGTTTAAAGATAGCAACAGTTGGCTTCTGCTGCACTTGCTGCACTCTCGTCTGGGCGCTGTGCATAGCGCCCAGACGAGAGGGAGTAATGATACACGGGCAAGGCCAGGCAGGAAACATGTGACTTATCAGTAACTTTAGACATCGTAACACAATTTTAAACGAGATTTTATTGTAGATTATACATTTTACTGATACCAATTATATAATATTTACCTTGTTTATTAAAAATAAAAAAATAAAAAATATATATATTTTTAAAATATATATTTTTTTATTTTTTTATTTTTTTAATGTGGGAAGAGGGGGGGCGGCCCTAGCGCCCCTATGGGCCGGCCGCCACTGAACGTAGGGTTCTATGAAGCTTTACTAACTTGCTTTTGGAGCTAGCCTAAAGTGGCCATTCAAGGAACTGCAATATTTGTTACTTATACTTTGGCTTTATGTTCTGCTACCAAAAGCAGCAACATTACTTTCATAACTTTAACATGTGCTTTGTTGTGTGTAAAACTAATTCCCAGCTGTCGCTCTGCTGCTCAGGTCTGTAACTGTTTGTGTTTTTGCTTTGATGATGCTGAAGAAGAAACCAGAGCTCTGTGTTGTAGCTGCAGATTCTGATGCTCTGTTGGTTTTAAGAATATTCATGTATGTCAATCACTGTTTATTAAAGAGTTCATCAGATCTTCACTCATCAAGAACTCATTAGCACAACTAGCTCTGTTTACTGTCATTGTATTTATAGCAAGACATTCAGCAGATCAAGTGCCTCTCATTATTCAATGTGTTTTTTCCAAAGTAATTATTAAAGCTGTGAACTGCACATGCTACTGTGTGTGTCTCTTGCTTTGATTTTCTATAATCTTTTGGGTCTAAGCTTAAAGCTACTGTTGGAGCTGCTCAAGTTCTCTCATTCTCTGTTGCCTGACATTTTTAGCCGGTCATATAAACAATCAACCACTCGACTTCTATAAATTACTTTAGTTTCAAAGCGAATGCACACATTTTGAGATGTAGGACGTGAGCATATATATAAAGATGATGCCAAATATTTCGTATTCATTTTATCTTCAAACAGAGTGCAGCCTCCTGCTCTCTGATGTGAGTGCTGACAGACTCTAGGCAGTATGTTCAGCTTGAAGGTTCAACATTGGCAACAAGCAGTGCCTTTAATGACTTATTCCAATATTAATTTACCCCTTATCTTTATGTTGCAGGAAATTAAGACCAAGAACAGCAAATGTATATTTCCTGCAGTGCATTATAATAAAAAAATCTTCAAGCTGTTCTAGAAAACCATGGAGGGAAGAAGTTTTTTTTTTTTTTTTACTCTGTTGCTTGACATTTTTAGGCCATCCTATAAACATCCAACAAACTCAAATTCAAAATGTACTTCATGATGTCAAATGTTCCTGTTTTACTTTATTTAAAAGCAGTGTGCAACGGCTGCTGTAAATATGCTCTGATCTGAGGGCAGTCAGACTGTAGTTTGTTCAGCTTTAATTAAGGTTCAACACTGTCAACAGACATTTCCTTTAATGACTGGTATAGGTTATTCAAAGTATCCTTTATCCCAATGTTAATTTAATCCCTAATATCTTTGCATTTCAGGCAATTAGGACCAAGAACAATATACCGTTTATTTTATTTCCAGAGAATGATAATTTAAAAAAGAATACATTTTCAAGCTATTCAATAAATCTTTGGGGGACAATGAATGTACTACTACAGTATCGCTTAATTGTAAAACTAACACAAGCAAAAGTTCTACATGGTAAAACCTATTTAAATTTAAAGGGGACCTATCATGCAAAATTCACTTTTTGATGTCTTTTATACATACATATGTGTCCCCCAGCGACGTGCAGTCAGGGGAGGCAGGGTAACGGAAAAACAACAAAAGAAAAACTAAATAGTAATAATAATAAAATGTCTCCACTGATCTGTGTTGTAAGTGTGATTTATGTATGATTCCAATCGCTTTTTATAGTCAAAATCAGCAAATTTGCCGAGCTCCGCTACGGGAGCGATGAGAAGTGAGGCAGGGACGAGCTCTGCCTCTCGTAAGCCCACAGTAACTTGCTGGAGCACGGGCACTAATTTAGCGCGGGCACTTATTTTGTGAGCGTGCTCAAGCCAGTTACTGTGGGGTAAGGTGAGGCACAGATGAGATCTGCCTCACCTCAGAATGCGTCACCCCACAGAAACTGGCTGGAAAGCGGGCCCTAAGCGCTTGCCTGTTACCATCTCACTGTAGGTCACCAATGTAATGTTTGTAGATCCCTTTATTACATTTATCCTCGCCATCCATAGTCTCTAAATAACTTATTTCACGTATATATGATATTTAGGCTCGCTGGTCTCATCATACAACGGCAATGAAAAAAGCACCAGGGGAGGCAGCCATAACCTCTGCCGCACTGAAGGGGGCGCACGTGAGCCCACAGGTTCTTGTTGCTACTGTAATTCTACGCACAAACAACAAACTAGACTTTTGAAACTACTGTACAGGAAGATAAGGAGGACTT